AAAAAAAAAAATGGAAACACGTCCAGCAGCACATGTTCAGATAGTTTCATCAAAAACAAAGGGCATCGTGGTGTTCTTCTTGGTTTGGATACAGTTATCTGCTTCCAAAAAGACCACAAGCTTGGCCAACACAGAATTAAACACTTAAACATTTACAAACATAAGGAAGATCTTTATTCTAAGGGGACTCAGTAGGTTTGGACCCAGTATAACCTTGATTCACAGTCAGTATGGTTGAAATGGCTAACATGCTTACCCTTCAAAAACTGACCTTAAGGCTGAGACCAAGGATATTCACCATGCCGTGCATGCTCACTGGTTTAAAGGTAAAGGCTGTGGTGGCTGGACCAGCCTTGTGCTCACCCCTAACATCTCACACCTCGTTTGGTCTCACTGGTGGCTTTATAGCACTGCTGTCTTTGTGGGGGTCACCAAAATGGAACTGATCCCACAGTGGGATTTCATCATAGCAGCTCTGTGGAACACAGGTATTGACTCAATAAGACCAAGAGCAGGCACAACAGAGCATAAAAATGAAAATACATTCCAGCCTGCAAAGTAAGCAAGTTAACATAAATGTGAGGAAAAATAAAACAAGCAAACAGGCTAACAGAGCTCCTGGAGAAGGCTGGCATTTACACTGATAATCCTGTGTAGATCATTGCCCCCAGATCCCAAGCAGGGTGCTTTGTGATTACTCATTCCCTTGCTATCAGGATCACTTGTAATCTAGCCACCTGCTTGTTTGGGCAGACTCAGAAATGCTGATGCAATCCACCTCAATGAAGTACAGCTGTTCAATGATGCATTTGTAGTGCAGTTTTCTGTCTAGATTTCTACTGTTTATCTGACTTCATCTCTACCCATAAATCTGATTTTTTTTAATCACTACAAAGCACATATGTTCTTTACCTTTTTCACATCACTTGGCAGTCTGAAGAGGCTTATGTGATTTGGAACTGCTTACTTCTGCTACTTCTTTCCCTCTCTTTCATCTAGCAAACAGGGCCCTATACAGTCACGATTCCCCATTCAAAACAGGGATACCTGTCTTCCAGGCTATGAGTTCACAGTTCTCAGGGCTGTTGTGCTATACCAGGGGCTGCAGTCAAATGATACTGGCCTTAAGACATCCTTCTGAACAGCTGATACTTCACAACATCCTGACTTGCCCCACACAATAAGACCAAGAACACTGAACAACTCAGTATAAACAACAGAAACATTTGCACACATGAAAACTCAAAGTTTCTTTCTGATAACCAGTATAATCCCCAAGCACTGAAGGGCATGGTTGTGACTGCCAGAAGGACTGCTTGCTGATCTGAGCAGTAACTGGTATAACCTGCCAATTCCTTACATCAGTCAATGTCGCCTTCCTTTCTTTAGACCTGTCAATCCAGTTCTTTACCTTGGAAAAGTTGCTGCTGTCTCCTTGAAGTATGACCCCACGAGATCACATGAGAAAAATGTCTATCCTGGGGGAACAGGGAGCACTGGAAGAAAAGCACCTGTATCGTCTAGCAAGTGGCATGGCAGCAGGAGGTAAGCAGGAAGAAACCCAACTAACTCCATGTTTGTTTATAGATCTGCTAATCTCTGCACAAGATACCTTTGAAAAGGTATCTCAAGTTTGTCTTAGGAATAACTGGAAAAATATTTCTCCATTAAGGTAGTTAAAAGTTAACATGGGAAATTCTTGGCATCCAGAATTTGATCAAAAGATGCTCAGCAACTGGAAGAGGGGTCAAGGCCACAGAGGAACTCAGCAGCAGAAGTGTTACCTGGGCATCGTGAGGCTCTGCCATACAGCTGCAGGCTCTTTCCACAGCTTCTGCCTCACCACTGGGCAGGTCCCAGCTAATACGACTACTTTGAAGGAAAATGGTATTAAGAATGAAACTCTCTCAAGCAGAGAACTTAACATTTCTGGCTAATCTGCTCTGTTTAATAGTGATACGTGAACTATTGCTCATTGTAAGCTGTCCTTTTATACACTTGACAGTGCACGTTCTATTTATTTTTGTGACTGATTGTATAAAACTGCATTATTTAAACAAAGTGGTTAAGGTGGCAGTGAAAATGTCTTCTTCTTAAATGACGTTATTAAGAAAAGTGTGTGATTTGCTAATTCATACAAAAACTATTTTCTTTGCTAAAGTTCTACTACAGAAAGAATCACTTTCTGTGTGTGCTTTGTGCCAGAACTGCGGCAGCGACAAGAGATGCTCATGAGGAACCAGCTGATGGCAGTGAACCCTCAGCTGATGGGCACAGCCCAGCAGAGAATGCAGGCAATGCCCTCCCAGTTCGAGCCTCGCCTGGTAGACAGGTATTCTGCAACGCTTCTCTACAGCAACACTGCAGATACAGAATAACCAGTCCTGTGCTGTCCTTGAGCACACAAAAATCTTAGATTATTATTAACTGAAGAATTCCCCTTTCTGTGTCTGAATGTTTGTCTTTCAGAGATTTGTTACCTTCAACTGAAATGACGGCCACAGCCGACCCGAGACAAATTCATATCGCGTCGCACCTCGGGCCCACAGTCCCACAGCACAGCAGCATGCCCAACCTGCTGTCCAACCGCATCTACCCAGGCCCAGGTAGCGAAGCTTTGCCTGCAGGAGCTTTCTGAAGCTTTATCAGTAGTGTCTACAACACAGCCCTGCTGTCCCTTTCCTTTACAGCCAACGGCAGGTGCACCTAACTACACACCTGGTGCCAGGCTTCGTGCTTCTCCTACACATTCCCACGGAAGCCATGAACATAAAGAGTATTTAATTTAACTCAGAGTCATTCTGGCTTCCTGGCAAAGCACATAGTTTGAGTCTTGAAAAGCTTTTCAAGTGCTTCTGCATGGCTTTGGGGTTTGTGTGTTTGCTTGAGGAAGAAGACTAAAGACTTTTTTTCCCCTTCCCTTCCTTTAAGGATATGGCTTTCTCCAACCAGAATCCATGGAAGCTGTGGCCAGAAGACAGGAACTGGTTCAGAAGCAAAATATTGCCAGGTATTGCCTGTAAGCTTTGCTGTGAGATGCAGCTGGGATTGGGGCAGCAGATGGAAGTCAGGAATTCACAGGCTTTGCTGGGGTTAACTGGGGGTGATTGAGATTCTTTTTCACATCACCCAGCAAATCAGAGGGCACTCCTATCTCCAAAGCTGTTGAAATTTCTGCTTACTCCTGTTCTCCTTCAGCCTTAAAACGATACAAAGAAAAGAAACCAACCTCTCAGCCTGGTTGAAGAAACAAACACACTGCAGGTTTCAGACCCAGCCCTTGAACTCTGGATCCAAACACCCCAAAGTTACAAGCAGTCAAAAACAAATTCAAACTTTACAGCTGTGCTATCCATCACATGCAATATCTTCAGCCTCCGCAGCTGGGCTGCAGGGATGACTTAGCTGCACCTCCGCCCTGCCAAGTGTGGGTGGGCAGCTTCCTGCTGCAGCCAAACAATCTGACTGGCAGGTTACCACAGACAGCCAGGTTGTTTGGATAGCACCAGTGCAATCAGTTGCTGCTTAAGTAATCCCAAATGCCCCCCCTTACAACCACACCATCTCCATCAACTCCAGCCCCAACCAGAGCTGTGCTGGGCTCCTGCGGTTGCAGCATCCCTCACACAGTAAGATTAAGATCAAAGAAGGGATACATCCTGATCACACATCTCAGAGTTATGACAGGTGTGTCTAAAGCCCTTCAATCAGCCAGACCTGATTACCAAACCCCCCATAGCACAGCACTTGAATCAGCACCGTGTTTCAGATAGCTCCTGCCACACGATAAACCCCGGAGAAAAACAAGCGAGATGTCATGCTCTGCTGTTCACCTCCACCTAAGAGCAGTGTGTGAGTAATGATAATTGGGCAACAGGTACCAGAAAATGGGGCACAGGCAAAACACTGTCACACACTGAAAGAAGGAAGTTGAGGATGCAGAGACTGTGGCACAGCTGAAAAGAGGGCAGAGGGAAAAAAGAACTGGATTTTAAGGAGTGATGGCAACAGTCACCTGCTGCCCAAGAGGTTTTCTTGGCAATTCTAAGGAGAAGTCCCCCAGAAGTCAGCCTCCCTGTCCTGGTGCTCTTATTGCAGTGTTTAGAAGGCTATCTTATCTCCCTTTATGGGCTTTGTTGACCTCATAAACACTTTTCCAAATAAGAATATAGAAGTCCCACTGCAGATTTCTCAAAGCAAGAGAGACAGCTGCAGCCCCTCTGCTTTGTGCTGTTAGATGGGCTCACTTCTGCCACCTCTCAACTCCACTGGAATACTTACAATATCACTGCCATTTTCCAGTTCTCAGTATAATTTCCTGATTGGAATATTAATCATTTATTTTCTGCAGCCTTTGGCCCTTATGACCCCAGAGACACTTTTCCAAATCCGAAGAGAATGTAAGCCCTGTTATAATGCCTGCATTGCCAATACACAAATAACACTTCTCTTTTTCTTGTCTGAAATACTATACAGAGGTATCACATGACAAGCATATCTTATCTTCCTTTTAATTTACTGTATGTACTTGGCAATGTATTAAATATAGGCAAGCTCACCATTCCACCTGCAGCATTTATGACATCTCACAAATAGCAATACAGGGCAGAGGGATGAAAAGCGGTACTCTTTAATCTCTTCAATTATATCTTGGTTTTAATCTGACATGAAAAAAAGAGGTGATCGAGGAACCGAGCTGCCCTGACTGCTTGTGCTCTGTGTGTCTCTTAGAATGGAGATGGAGATGAGCGCTATTTTTCAGCAAAAAGAAATGGAGAAAGCTCATCGGAAAGGACTGCTGAGCCTGGAAGCACCTTTCCTTTACCACGGGATGCCAGCCAGTCCCATTGCTTTCCGTGGCAGGCACAGGCTGCCTGAAGGACACCTTCCCAGTGACTTATACGTTCATCGTACCACCCTCGATGACATCCATGGTAACACCATGCTGATGGCCACCAGCCCGTACCCCCCCGTCAGCACCCTGCAAAGGGAGAGGGGCCGCCGGCCGGGGAGGAGAGCTGCAAACCACAAAGCTGCAGACTGCGGGGCCAACGGCACCAAGAGCCAAGCTGAAGACAAAAGTACAGACCCCGCTTCCACTGCGGTAGATGATGAGAAAGAAGACAAGAAAGAGGCAGAGGTGGAGACGCCAAACAAACACGAACAAAGCAAGAACCAGGTGGAGCCGTCAGCAGTTGCCAAAAACTGCAAAGAGTTGGAGCAAGACTTGAGAAAAAACTGTGCTAATCACGAAATTTCTGCTGAACCCAACAGCTGCAACAACACAAGTGAGAAGGAGCCTAATAGCTCCTGTGCTGCTTTTGATGACAAGTACATGTACCCGTCTGCCATCCCGTTCTCAGCACTACCATATGGATTTCCAGTTCCCAGCAACCCACTGCTACCTCCAGGTTTGTCAGGTCTCCAGATTACAGTTAAAATAGCAGATCAATAGTCATTATCTCTATTGAATTGCTCTCTTATTTCTTCCGCTTCCTTAAAGCAAATTTGGGTACAACAGAGTCATGGCAATTTAATATAGAACTCATATGCTGCAAAAAGACTTGGTAAATCCATGTCAACAATGGTAAAGAGTGGCCTTCCCTACCTTCAGATCTGCAGCTTGCTGGCACAGTGGAGGTTTCAGGTTTGTTTTTTTTTGCAGGGCAATGCAATGGCACAGTGAGGTTGGCAACACCTTGGGGTTCCCCAGAGTTCCATTGGATGGGACAAGTATTGCTTTAGGAAAACCTTGCCTTCTGTAGGAACTCTACATAAGACACAGTCATAAGGTCACTGCACAATAATCATAGTTTCTAAAGCTTTGGGGCTCTTAAATGTACAAATGGCACAAAACATCCCAGTACCAGACATGAGAACAGGCTGGGGTGTTTGTGCAGGAACATTTACCAAAGATACCATCTCACTGAAAAAACAAATGATGCATGTTAACTATTCAGCTCCTGTCTGCTACAGGAATTTAAACAAAATCTCTGGATGAAGGTAAAACAATGGTAAAGTACTGGATAATGCTGTTGGAAATACTGCAGTGTGATTTGTACATTTAGTGACTGGTATGTACAGTACATACAGCAAATAAAAGCAAACCCTCCAAGACCAGTAACAACTATCAAGTGATTCTGGTGTCAAGGATTATTGTATCGGTGACTACACGGTGCTGTTAATGTAGTGTCCTTAATCTTACATCAACATTCTTTTCCTATTGTTTTGCCAGCAGAATTCTACAAAAATAACATCAGTTTCCTCCTTAAAACAGCACATGGCCTGATCCTGAATGGAGAAGACATTTCCACCATTGAAGACATCCGCAAGTGGACGGTTGATGATGTGTACAACTTCATCATTAGCCTCCCAGGCTGCTCCGATTATGCCCAGGTGATGACAAACACACCTAATGGTCACAGTCACATTTTAAGGTCTTTAGGATCATCTGGATTTAAGATCAACAAATAAATACGACAAATAGAGGTTTACTAGTTGGCACCACGTTAAGTCCCCACTTGCTAAAAACAAGTGAGCTACAAGAAAATGTCCAGATGTCCACGTATCTGAACAAAGCACATCACAGTGCAGTCATGAGAGAAACGTGAAGATAAAACACTAGAAGTATTTCCTCTGTTTGTTGTTTATACCTCAGGGTTAAGCACACAGAATAACTGGTGAAGTCTGTTTGAACACACCTCGATGTTATTTTCTTTCCATCAGATATTCAAAGACCACGCTATCGATGGAGAAACCCTCCCACTGCTAACAGAGGAACATCTCCTAGATACCATGGGATTAAAACTCGGGCCAGCATTAAAAATCCGCTCCCAGGTAATATCAGATGTACCAAAACTAGCAAGGCATGCAGATGTGAAAGGCTCAGAAGCTATCAAGATGATTTTTTTTCCAAACTAAATCACATTTCTTTCTCACTCATAAGCTCATTGCTGTAATAGTGGGGGAAAAGAAATTCCTCCAGCACGGTTTGCTTTTGCGTCTCTGCATGAAGCAGCAGGGGGACAGTGGAGGTGGGGTGTCAGGACTGACAGTCTGAGAGATGCTCGGGGCAGATTCAGGACACAGCAGTGCTGCAGACTGGGCTGAGGCTGGTAATGCAAAGATATTTGATGGATTTACTCCCTTGTATTCCTGTTTGTCCTTCCCCACCGGTAAGAACTGTTCTGATACATACTTGCTTTAGCTCCAACCTGACTTTTAAAATCCACCAAGTAAAGGTTTCTACAGTCTTTCTGGGAATAGAATCTTAAATGATTTGTAGAGATGCTATGTTTGAAATTTTCTGCTCTTACTTTCATCGTGGATTTTGTTTACTTTTGTTAACCACTGCTAATCCTTGGAGGTGGTGGGGGACCAGGCAGCTTCCTGGCATTGCTACACAACAGCCAACCTTGACATTTAATGACAGCAAAACCACCTCATGAAACAACCACTGCGATTTTGTTTCTGTCTTTCAAGGTGTCTCGACGTCTGGGCAATGTGTTCTACATGATGAACCTTCCCCTGTCTGTGTCCCTGCCTCCTGCTCCAGGCAAACACCCAGAGCAGCCCTCTGACATCACCTCTCCTCTTCGCTGCAACAGCAGCGGTGATGCACTGGACAGCCCCTGCTCACAGGGCCTGGAGACTTCAAAAACAGTGGAACAGATTGTTTCAGAAAGCAGGGATCATCCGTGTGATGCAGACGGACCACAGGCTGACTTCCAGATGATCACTTTTCAGAAGAGTTGAGCTGGGCCCAAGATGTAAAATGTTTCTAATAATACAGGAGCCTTCAGTTACCAGGTGTTTGAGAGGGTGGCTGCAGCCTGAAACCTCTGCATGGGATTGGGACTGAATGAAATCAGCTGCATTGTGGTATCTGAAAAGCACTTAAAAACACAGGACTACATATTAGTGCAATTACTTTCAAGTGCAATTCATTGAATAGGGTATCAGTACAATTAACACTGCTGAAATCTGTCAGAGGCTCGGAGTGCACTCGGTACAGTTGTGCAGGCTGCTGAGGAACTACCAGGAAAAGCTACAGCCCATTGCCAGGGTTGGAATCTGCTTTGTGTGACTGCATAGGCGAGCTGAGCTCAGAACAAAGCAGAAGCAGACTGCTGGGAAGACCAGCTGCAGTGAGAGCCACATCCTGGAGGCAGCAGCTCAAAGCAGCCTTCCCCTCTGCTCACCTGGGCAAGCCATGGAGGTCTTTCCTCAGCAGCATACTCAGCATTCTTCATAAGATGAAAAGTGCTTTCTGCTTACTCCTGCTACTGATGGTTAAGTATCTCACAGCAAACATGAGTGGAGTTTTTAGCTAGGGAAAATTCCCCAGCATTCCATAATGAACCCTGTGTGAATTATCTTTATTCCCTCATTAGTGGTTTTGTCACAGGCTGCTCTTGCACTGAGGAATTGGAACTGTCCTCCACCCTCCTCTGATGAAAACTTGACTCTGAAGTGCACACAAATAGTTTTGAGAAAACTAAGTAAACTGAGTGCTGGTCGATTGGTGATCTGCTGTATATTCCCACTTTAGATTCCCTCTCCTTTGATTAGTTTCTGCGGCCACACGAAAACCTCTTAAAAACCAAGAGGTGCACTGCTGTGTAGATGGTGAGTGTCCAAATGCACGAGGACGAACGTTCTTGTATTTTAAACTGTGGGCACCTGTTTTTCTGCTTCAGCCTGAGAAAAAATATTTTATTATTTTTGATACTGTAAATCAAATATTTGTGCAGTAGATGAGATGAGATTAGAAGTTAGCAACAGTAACTTTCAGTGTTCATCTGACTGTGCTGTCCGAATTTCGTAGCCTTGAGAGGAGTGGCAGATACCTCTCATGTTCCTTTCCTGAAACAGCAAAGTCTTGCTATAAGACTTCAGCATGACTCTGCTTTGCTGAAAACTCTGCCACCACCACCAGTTACAGCAGTGCTGGGCTCTGTGCTTATATCTTCAGATACTGCAAGTAGGGTTCATGTTTCCAGGTTTCACTGATGAATTCTAGTTAGGCCCAAAGGAAAAGTGTGAATTGCTATACAACAAAATACTCCAAAGATGCAGACAGGCCCTAAGGTGATCTCCTAAGTGAGGTGCTGACATTTATGCCTGTGATCTGGTGAAATTAATGAGAGTCTTTCCATTACTGTAAGAGTCCGATTTATGTCTTATGTATCATCTATGAGCATCTTTCATACAAGGAACTGTTTATTGGATACTTAATAATATCCAGAAAAAGAGAATTATAATCTGAAACTGGAAAGCCTAGATATAATTCCAAGACTGTCTAAAAAACAACAGCAGAAATAATCTTGGAATGGCCATTAGTTTGATGTTTGCTTTGTCTCAGTGAATTTCAGAGTGTTAACATCTGTTCTCTTCAATATTTTTTCTGTTTTTCCAAGATTCTAAAATTCAGCAAGGTGGACAGAAGAGTTTTATAATAATTTGATAATAAAAAATGTTTACTTTTGCAGATTCTGGATAAAGCACAATTATCACTGTAAAGAAGTCACAGTCTGGTTGTAATGTTTTCACATGCTATTCTAATATGTAATGTCTCAGATTACTGACACCAGAAGTTTCCTTTCACAGTAGGTTCAACTCCTGTGATTTTCTTCTTTCTGCAGCAGGTTGTTCATGAACCATCAGTGAAAAAGAAAATATTAGAAAATATTTTTATATAGTCAACATGTTGCTAAGAAAAAAAAAAAAAGCATCAGAAGCACCAATAGTGTTTGGTGTCTGAAACAAGTTCTAATTCCCTTCTTTTGTAAAACTGACTAACACATTAACAATGCCGCTTATCTAATTAAACACAATTCACCTGTTGGTTTTCAAATGGTGTCCTACCTCTCAAGCCCTGGGTGCTGCAGGACCAACCCCAGCTGGGGGCCCACTGGGCCACACGATGTCGCTGCCCAGCTGTGAGCACTTTGCAGAGGCAGCCCCCAAGGGAACGGCAGCACAGCATGCAGCTGGGTGTCAAGAGCAGGGATGTGAGCAAACAGGGCTTGTTTTCCTGAAGTAACAGCAGAGGAGCTTGAGTTGAAATCCTGTGTGCTAGGGAAGAAAGACTGAAATCTGGTTCTGAAGAATGTGAGTGCTGTTTTTGTAAATGGCTCAGACATGAACGGTTAGAAAAGCAGAGAAAGCTGGATCAACGCATGCCAAGCCTGACAGTGCTGCAATTTAAAAAGTATGTGATCCTTTGCACATCCCGGGCTCTCCTTCCCAGAACTCCAAACAGGGGAAGATGTCAGAGCAGCCACAGTGCAGCAAGGCCCAGACTGCACTCAATGGCAGAGTGAAACTGGAAGGAAATGGAGTTACCTAAATGGACACAATCTGTTCTATTTCTATTGTAGGGATTATCACTAATGGTTAAAGTTTCCCCTCTGACAAACACTTCTGAAAGAATTAAAAAAACTCAAAACACTAAAGATACAGAATCAGTACACACAGCCTTGCTTTCAGATCTGGATGTGTTTTCATGAACTATGTTTACAAGGAAACACTGGAGGCTTTGCTGATTCTCAGCAGCCATGTGAGCTTTCTGGTTTTAATGCTTATTCCAGCTGCAAAAGGGTACAGTTATCTACTTCAAGTATGTAACAGAGCTGGCACAACTGTGGAAGTCAGTGATTTCTAGTGGCTACACCACCACTGCACTTGTTTTTTTCTGCAATGCTATTTAAATCACAGAGGAATGCATATGATGCCTTATAATAGCACATGATGCCTTATAATACATCAACATGCCATCAACAGAATTTTTGGACTAAACATCTACTGTGCATTAGGCAGTAGCAGAAAGCTGCATCAGAAAATAAATTTCTAATCAAAGTGGATAGATGTGAACATATGTGGGTAAAAGTCTTTACTTTTAAGAGTGCCATCCTTTGTTGCATGAGGAACATGAAAGTACACAATCGAGCTTTCTAACACAACCCAGATGCACAAGCCAACTAAGAAAGGCTTTGGACTGCCATGGATATGCAATGCATTTTACAGGCAGTGTGAATAAAATTCAAAGCCCTGTGCAGCTTTCAGATCACACAGCTGCAACAGAAAACTGTTGTGATAACCTTCCCTAAGGCCTCCTTTGTACATAAGCTATTCATTCTGCTCCTAATACAATCTACAAAACTCAGCACTTTTTTTGCTGAATCGGTTTCTTCCATGCTTTAAAATTTGCTGTACTATTTGCCATAGCAAATGGCATCAGCTCTAACTTCCATCAGAGTAGGTACTCACTTCAACCCTTTCCGAAACATCTGGTCTGAGGAACAAGCAAAATTGCCAATGAATCAGCCTATCTGACCTGATATTTTCATCTAAGCCGTTCATTATTCACGGGGAAATAACAGCTCAGTGAGAGCTGTGGTGTTCACAATTCTCCTTCCTGTGATGCCCAGCTTTGACAAAGCCCTTCATGCTGTAATATATAGCTATGGCCATACTGCTACAGTAATTTAAATGTAACACAAACATCTGTTATGGCAAAGGAGAAACTCACCTCTCCTTTCTCATCTGAAGCCACAAGGATTACTCTGTTACTTGGCCTGTATGCATTCCTTTCCTTTGTCCCATTGCCAAGTTTACCTAAGCCTGTATTCCCCCAAGCAGGTATTAGTTCTGCTACTCTCTGCATGGTGTTCTTGAGCCAACAATCTCACTGTTGACAAGGGTACAAAGTCTTATCTAGATCATAGGAAAGAAGAACCTATACATAACTTCTTCTTAGCCCAGTGTTACATAGAGAACAATATTTTTTTCCCGTGTAACACAATGAAGACATGAATAGATGTTTTTCTTACACCATATTTAAAAACCCATATGTGATGTCTGCATGTGTGAACTACTGAAATAAAAACCAACCAACCACAACAGCAAACAGAAGAACCCCTTGTAGCCAAGGGGAACAAGGAAAGCATCAAGCCGACCTAAGTTTCATCTTCTGATTAACCTTCAGTTACAGGGTTAAAACAGCTCTGCTAGAGATGAGTGCTGCTCAGCCTGTGATTCATGGGCTTCCAGTAGGCTGTTATTGAAAGACAGCCTGCAAAGCAACCACCAGCTTCTGGCTGAGTCTGTTAATTTGAGAGATGTAAACACCAGAATCACATTTTTATAGAACAAGGATTTTAAACTCAAATACTGGTAGTCATAATAGGAAACTTGTGGTTTTATAAAATAACATTTAGCTTTTCCTAATGCTATGTCCTTTGTATTACCATTCTTCTCCTCCTCTTCTGCCACTGCCAAAAAATACAGATGTAGAAGCAAGCCTTTTTTTCCCCGAAAGCCTCAGCTGGTTCTCCAGCAGAACTGACCTCACAGGTTCACCAGTCAGAGATAAAAGCATATTCTTGCAAGAAACAAACAAAAAAAAAAGCTGGCATTTGAAATTGATGAAACTAATTACACAAGGACTAGAACAAGAGGAAATTCATGTTTACTTCAACTATGTTTTTTTTTTTTAAGTTATGTGTGTCAAATAATTCTGAGTTATACAAAAATGAAGAGTAACTGGCAAGAGTGGAAGATTTAATTAGAATCTTAGTGAAAGAAAACGATAATTTCTAATGAATATTTGTTGCTCTGCTAAATTAAAAGCTAAATGGCTAACTCAACATTTATAAGCTTCTGTGATGGAGGTGACTCAGGATATGTCTACACTGTACTGAGTAATGGTTCGTGTTTGTGGGTGGATGCTAGCTAAACCTGCCTTGAAAGTATGTGTTGCTGTACATTACAAGGCACATATCCTTTACATTTTGAATCTATAACCAATGCTGAAGCTGGCTGGAAAGACAGGAGGTCACTCCAGAATGACTGCACCACGCTACTGCATGTAGATGTCTATGAAAAGGCTCCAAACATACTGTGAGGGAATTACTGCATCTTTCTTGACTCCCTCTACAGAAGCTCCTCCCTTCTGTCTGCCTTGCTCTTCCCCCTGTCTGCCTTCCTGCCTGTCAACATAACAGTTGAAGTAACTCTGATTTGTGTTTTCCTGTCTCTTCCCTCAAAGCCAGAAGGATCAGTAATGGGCCCAATGGATCAACTTCAAAAAAGCAAATGGTTTGTTCAGCAGAACAGACATTTTGTCAGACTTTGTGTTACCTCAATTTCTGTATTGCAGAAGGCAATGTGACTCAAAGGGCAGTTTGTGACATGCTTGCCAGTAATTCAGTTGCCAACATGTAGATTTGCACTTCTGATGAATATTAACTATGTCATTGCAGTAAGACTATATCATCTTACAGATCCAGGATGACCAACACTGGTCCAAAACAATGGGACTACCAATAGTGCACAGGCCAATAAACTGCCAAGAACAAGTGAATATAAGGGTATTAAAAATATATACACCAGAGAGAGTAGAACACACCTGACTCGGTGTCCTGCCTAAGAAGCCAATAAAGGATACCCAAAAGCAGCATATAAGAACAAAAAAAAAAGACCACAGAAAACTCCTTTTGCCTCCAGGGCTCTTACACAGACAGCTAGAGATTATTTTTACAGTTAATAGCTCATGATACATTTTTGTTTTGTGAACGTATCCTTTTTCTCTCTTTCTTTTTAAAAACATTTCCAGCATCCCTACAGCCACATTAGATCACACAGAGAAAAGAAGAGAGAAAAGAAGCTAATGAAATACTGTGGGCTTTGCTTCAGTTGAAGAAGGAAACCACTCCACTTGCATGCAATATCCTTCACAACAGCAACTCAAGCGGTCATGATTCTGAAACCCAGCTCCAACAGAAATGGCAGTTGTCACTTAAGAAACTGTGAACATCTTGCATGGTTCTGAAATGCTCCTTTTCCAGCCTGCCCCACAGCTAACAGGTACACTAACCTTAAATGCAGGCAGCTGAACCTTCCCTTCCGTTGCCTGGTTTACTTGACTCTTTGCCACTCGCTTCTCTTGCTTCTCCTTCTTTCTCTGGCTGAATTTGTGACTACAAACGAGCTTGTTCCACACAAGATTCAGTCTTGACAGGCTCTGTGTTCAAAACGACAGGAACTGCTCCACTCAGTGCCTCACACTGGAGGATACATCACTTGTATCACCTTCCCTTCTTGGCGCTTTCCTAGGATCTGCTTGAGGTGGTCACTTTGCTCACTGTGCCACACCAACATGCAGGCTGTCCTCAGAACCGCTCCTGTGAGTTACTGTTTCTCAAGCTTCAGACGAATCAAAAGCTCTGTGAAGAAAATAAAACGGACGTTAAGCAGAAGCCCAAAGTGCTTTTTTGGAAGCTAGCATCTTTCTGTGCTGGTGTCCTGTCATTGACACTCGCGTGCTTTGGCTGCTAAGCCACAGTTCAGCACCAATGGCAGGCTGTTGTGGTCAGCCATGGCTGGAAGCCTCCCTGCAAGAAACCTCAGCCTGAGATGCGTTTGTGCATCACTGTAAGTGAAGCACATCAAATAGCTGTTAAGGTGATCGCCCTATATAAATGTATCTTTGGCTAAACATATTCTGCCTACAGGTTACAGGAGGTTGTTTTATTGTCATCATAAAAGCCTTCAATTCTGTGCATTTGTCATTTTCTCTCTCCAGCGGTACTTTTTATAGTTCTCTCTGCAGTCAGACAGCTTAATTTGTAACTTGTGTAACAGTTCTGCCCAGCAACAGCACCGGGAAAGCGCTCGGAGACGGTGCACCAAAAACAGCGCCGGCACGGTGATTCAGGGCAAATTCTGGAAGCGACGTCGGGTTTTTAATTACCTCGTTTTCACCTCAGAGGTTCCACCAGCACAAGGCCCGCACTTTTCCATCGCAAAGTGCCACGGCACGGATCGGGAACACGGAGCCGGCACAACTCGCCTGGCTAACCCCAGCCACCTCACGGCGAAAGCACGCGGGCCGCCCCGCCACGAAGCTTTTTCCTCTCCTACGGGCCGCTCTGTGCGCGGGGCCGCACCCGCGTGCCAAGCGCCTCCGAGGGCGGGGCGGCACGTGGCTGCCGGCAGCTGCACGTCGCTCTGCAGCGCGAAGGAGCGGCCCCGAGGGAGGCAGGCGCAGCCGCGACGGCCCGCGGCGATGGAGGCGCAGCGAGAGCCGCGTCACCGCCCCCAGCGCCGTCACCGCCCCCAGCGCGGCGCCCGGCGCGGCCCCCGCAGCCCCCCGCAGCCCCCGCGCGGCGCCGAGGGGCGCGGCCTCCCCTCCTCCCGCCGCCTCTCGCGAGGCCTCCGCCGCCGCCCGGCCCACGTCACCGCGGAGCAGACGGGGACAACATGGCGGAGCGGCGGCGGCACAGGAAGCGGATCCAGGTAGCCGAGCCTCCCCCCACCCCTCCTTCCCGGCGCTTTGTCCCCCCTCCGCCGGCCCGTCGCTCCCTTCTCCCGTCGGGGCTGCCGGCTGCCGCCGTGCTGCCTGGGCGCTTCCCCCGTCCCGCGGCCTCCCCGCCTCGGCTCGGGCTGCGCGGCCCGGCCGTGCCCGCGGGCGGCTCGGCTCGGCTCGGCTCGGCGCCGCCGGCAGGAGCCCCGCGGGAGCCGGGCGCCTTTCGAGGGCGGCCCGCGATTGGCGCAGCCGTTGGCAGGACGCGGGCAGCGGCCCGGCGCCGACCCGAAGGCGGCGGTGCGGCGGGGAACGGAAAGTTATTCTTCGCTGCCGTGCCCGAGGGGAGGCTTGGCCGGCAGCGGGCCGCGCTGAGATGCGGAGGCGATGCTGTGCTGCCCTGGGCCGCGCCGCAGGGCGGGACGGAGCTGCCGCTCCTGGAGCGTGCGGTGCAGGTGCTGCTGTGCCGGCAGCATCGGTTCCTATAACGACCGGCGGTGCCCTCTGTTGTTGACCCCGCGCTCGGCAGTGTTTATTCAGGGCTTATTGCTGTGCCGTGAGCAGAGATAATGTTCGTGATAGGAATCGCAGCGCCGACCAGCAGGCACGAACTCCGTGCCTCGTCGCTCTGCCCGCTGCCCTCCATCCTTCCGTCCGCTTCCCTCTCCCCATGGAGGCACAGACGTGTCACTGCAGCTTCCTTCTAGTGCCTTAATTCAGATTTCTGTGAGGGAAAAGCAAGGGGTAATTAGTCAGAATCTTGTAATCTTGTTAAACCTTACCTATCGCGGGCGTTAGGCATCAGAGCAATCATTTCGGAGCTGTCACAGGCTGCCCGCTGCCACACACAGCAATGGCCCAGCGAGGCATCCATCAGAACTACCGAATGTAATCAAATGCCATGTGACAGCCTGGGCTCCGGGCTTAGCACAGGCTTATTCCCAGCCTGTGAGCAATAGGTTTGTTAGTAATTGCATCCGTGGCTAGGTTAACGTGGTTTTAGATTGCGGCCTGAAGATGTGATATAATTATAACAATAAATGTCTGTTGCTTCTTGGTAGTTTCCCAGCGTATGTCAACAACAGTGGGGAGGCCAAACAATGAACAAAGAAGGCCATTGAATGCCCAGAGGGTGTTCTTAATTGGGCAGAGTGAATAAAGCAATATGTATTTTTCTGGCTTAGTTTTCTTTCTAACCTTTTTAAGCTTTCTTGCCACGGTCCCCGTGTGATTAACGTGTTTCAGGATGGCTCTGCAAGGTTTTTCTTTCAAAAGGGAGAATGAGGCATTTGTTTGTAGGTGTCCCAAGTGCTTGAGAAGTGAGTGCTTATCTTAGAGTGATCCGTGCCCCCTAATAATGAGACTGCTTGCTGTACTCTATGCAGGTCTGGCTTATGAGTGCCCCATTGTCATTAAGTGGAGCTGTATGCCCTGAAAAGAGTGAGATTTTAGCAGAAAACAACGCTTATAGCTGTGGGAAGGGTTGATGGTGTAGAGTTCAGTTACAAGTGCTGTGTGCCCAGCAATGGGCTTCTGAATAACTTTATATCCTGCATCACAATAGAGATGATGATAGGTCAGTGAGCTGTGGAAAAGTCTCAGTAAAATAGTTCAGAATTCTTTCAAGCTGCTTTATGTGTTTCCCATCGGTAACAGGAAGGATTTGTTATGAAAATGCATTCTATAAAACAAAATACATTGCCTAATCTGTATTGCATAGCTTAGGCTCTCCCTGTGGCAACAAAGTAAAAGTTACAGAAGTCACAGAGATCTTGACTTCAGAAGTCTGAATGAAGACATCTTACAGGTAAAGTTTCCAGTGTCACTCCTGACAGTAATTTCTCTGTAATTAACACAGACATGCAATAGAGAAACGAGTGTGTTCTGACAAATCCCCCTTGAAAGAAGCGGGGTGTCTCTGAACGCCTTTTACTCCAGTAACCCAATAAAAGCTATTTCATCTCTTGGGAAAAGCAGTCAGTCCCACAATCCTCGCTTAAACACAGCATCTTCAGTCAGTTTCTTTGGCAGGTTGGTAACGTGTGGCGCTTTGGCAGGTTTGCAATTTGATTGTTAAGTAGGCATTAAGTTTTAATTACGTTGGCCAGATTCCATTGTGCATGGTTTTATTCTGCCCATGTGGAGCTGTGTTTGTGCTGCGATTAATAGCACTTGTGTAGCATCTTATGCCCTGCCCTCTGCTCTAGAAATGTTAATGTGTATAAATACCACTTTTATAAATAGAGGAAACTGTGCTTAAGGCCGTGATTTGGCAAATGTCCCAACTGCAAATTGATGTCTGGATTCTCCTGCTGATGGACAGATAGAAATCAGGATGAAAAGTCCTGCCCTGTTGGTTTGGCTCTGCTGGAAGGAAGATGTGTAACAGCTGCATTGCTGCTTCCTGTGGGTTCAGGTTTTGTGTACGGATGTAAGGGATCTTCTGAGGTGACAGTGCACCAGTTCCAGTAACACAAATTGCATTGCAACTGGTCTGTTGTTTTTTTTATCATGAATTCTGGTAGAGTCCCAAGAGTCTGATGCACCCAGCACCTTCTGAGATGCTGACGTCTGAGTCCTCGGCCCAGCAGAACAGGAGGCAGCCACAGCTTGTCCCTGAGCTGTGGGGAAGTGCTGGCATTGCCATCCATGAGTTAGAAGTGATCTGTTCAGGGAGGTGCCCTAGTTTGATGGCTGTCCCCCAGACCTTTTTCTTACTTGCAGAGGGTGATGCAGGGGGACCTTTTCTCCTTAGGGTTGGATTCACTTTCCTAAGATGGCTAAAATGGTGATGGCTCCTTAGTGGAGTTCACCCAAGCATTCCAGCCAGTGGGAATTCACTGCAGCTACGGCAGTGTAAGTTAGGTGTTAAGAAAAGTCTGGAAAACGTCTGTGCAGATTTGGATCTCAGCGCTTACTGATGAGTTAAGACTCAATGCTTTCTAGTCTGCGTGCATTTCATACGTGGTGCTGGCTGTGTACCAAATGAATGTAGACTGCAGAAATCTCACATGAAAAACAAGGTTCTGAAAACCAAAGTTCACAGGTCTAGGAGCAAAGAAAAGTAATTAAACACTTGTTTCATTGAAATCAAAGAATTTTCATGGCCTTTATTAAAAAAAAAAAAAAGTATAAATCCTTGTAATTTTTGACTGCACATGAAGTAACTTGTCTTGTTAGTGATAATCATCATTTACTCTGTTCTGGTTTTCCAGAAACCTTGTTTCTATTGCAGAAAGAAATCCTCTGGTCTTGGGTTGTGCCTGTGATGCAGCGCAGAAAAAAAATGAGTGAAATTTCAAACCACAGTTGTGTCTTTTGGCCTTCACTGAATGGTGCCAGGAGAACCTGAATAAGTCATACTTGGGTAGAGATGAAAGGAAGAAAGAAGCTCTTGCCTACAGTGGTTTTCATAGCTCAGTTCAGATGTTCTGATTTTTAGTGTACACAGGCCTCTTTTGTTTCAGTCCCAATTAGAGGTTTAATTAAGTTGGGAGCTACAGCTGTGTATTGAAGGCCGTTCAGAAGGCACTGTGCTATGCTTTGATTTGGGAGATAATGGGAAAAAGTGAATTTGATTAGTGCTTTCCATTCACTTTGAAAATCTCTGACCTGCTTTATGGATTCCTACAGGACACAATTTTGATAGGAATGCTTGAGGGTTACTCTTAAAAATGCCTCAATATTTCAGTGCATTTAGTAGTAAGTGGGCAGGCTGAGCACTGCTCCTCCCGCCCTCCTGTAGCAGAAATTCTTCTGTCTGGCTAGATAAGAAATTGCTTTGGTTTTGTTTTTAATGGCACTCTTCCAGAATGTGTAAATTATCAGGGATCTCAACTTCCCATGCATTTTTCAGTACATAAAATTAAACTAGATGCAAGGGTCTAAAATAAAACCTCCTGCAGAAGTATTTGGAAACATTGCAGTGTCCTATTTTTCAGTTACTGGAAAGTTTAATGGTAGAATATTAACTGAGAGGACCTTTCACAGCATTCTGTAAATACATTGCTTGAAATGTTTCTTGAGTCTTTCTGTCTTTCCAGTAAAAGCAAACTTGAAATGCCAGAAAGTTTTCATACACTTTTTAAGACCATCTCATCTATTTTAAAGCTTTATAATTTATTTCAGACTGCCCCCTGCTTAATCCATGTAATCCTTTTCTAAGTGCATGGGAAGGTTAGATAGCCTGCTGGTGGTTGGCTGTTGCCACATTTGAACATAAAGCTCCGTTGAAGTGCGTTGCTCAAAATGTGTGCTTGGGATGCCGACATCTCCAGTGTGTCTGCTGAATTCACTTTGTGATGGAATGCAGTCGTCTTTGCTGTCTTTCATCTGTCGTCATGTTGTTTGGATGTCAGGAGGAAATTCTTTACAGAGAGAGTGGTGAGGTGCTGGAACAGCTGCCCAGAGAGGCTGTGGATGCCCCATCCCTGGAAGTGTTCAAGGCCAGATTGGATGGGGCCCTGGGCAGCCTGGTCTAGCATTAAATGTGGAGGTTGGTGGCCCTGCTTGTGGCAGGGGGCTGGAGATTCATCATCCTTGAGGTCCCTTCCAACCCTGGCCATTCTGTGATTCTGTGATTGTAATGGAACCATGACCATAAAAATAAAGGGCTGAAATGAAGGTGACAAGTGGAGATGGGATTGCAGGGAAAGCTTTCTCAGAACAAGCTTGGTTCAGCTCAGGCAATATCTCTCACAGGGGGAATGGTTTTGCTTGGATTATTATGGAAAAATCCCACAGAAAAGGACAAAGCAAGAGATGGTAAGGAGCAATAAAAAACTACTGGTGCCATCCACTGCCTGCACG